CCCGCCCCGCCCCGGTGCGGTAAACTGCTCTGACCGCCCCGCCCGAGCAGAGTCTCTACGGCGACTCCCGCGTGTAACGCCCGGGCCCCGCCAGTCTCAGGCCACCTCTCGCACGCCGCGCACGCCCAGGCGCACGCCCCTCCACCGCAGCAAGCGTGCGCGAGCGTGGCCGACACCCGCGACCGTGTTGTTCACAGTGCGTCAGGTGATTGTGTTCAAGTGCAACGCAGCAAACGGATTATCATCGCCGCCCAGCGCACCGGATTATCCACAGTAACGCTCAACCAGGTAAAGAGAAAGAGGGTTCACAGTCACAGTCGTACTCGAGGGGTCCTTTACTATAAGCGTAGACCGATTTTTCTCTTTTTGCATATTATGTTTCCTTATTTTGTTTTCTGATTCTCTTTTACCTTTTCTTATTTTCTTCTGATTGTTTTTCTGAGTTTTTTTCTAAGTTGTTTTTTTATGGTGTACGCTGATATATTTTTTGTAGTAAGTACCCTTCGGTTGTACTTCGCTCTGCGAGGGTTTGGCTGAAATGTTGGTCAAAAATTCACCCAACAAAATACAACAACGGGCGCTGCACACAGCAGGTGGTGCACTGGGTGGATTTTTGTCCAACTACTTTGGCAGCCCCTTAATGAGCGTGGTCCCGCCGAAGAACCGCTCTGCCACCGCAACGATAGCGGTCACTCGGCACTTTTTGGTCCAGCAGTCGAGTTACATCAGGAGGAGGTTGCCCCCGAAAAAAAGCAGGCACCGCCGGCGTTGCCGCAGATGACGATTGCGTTCGACTCTTTTTTTTTGCGTGCTGAGCTATTACACGCTATAGTTATTTTGTACGTCGATCTTAGTCCGACCCAGCTCAAACTTCTCTGGCGTCATGTGTTTCATGGAGTGCACGTATATGGTAGAGCACGGGCTTAGTCCGACGAGCGAGCTCTGTCCTCTGTCACACACTTTGGACGTGTATTATGCATGCTGACGGCCGAGATATACCCCGCCAAGCTCCCCCGGGCCACGCTGCAGCGATATGGGCCAGTTAATAAGTCGAGAAAGGCGCTGCCGAGCCGTTTCCGCGTTGCGTTTAAGGAACGGCAAGGGCCATCAATAAGAATGACTGGTACTTACTAACAGGCTGGCTTATTTTTTAGTCTCCTATTATTGATAGCGGCAGAGTCCACAAAACATTAGAACTTTTTTTCGTTGTTTTTATTAGAAATCCTGCACAAGTGTAGCCGAGTGGGTTTATTACGGCACTGCACCACATTCCCTTTCTCTTGTTCAAGGTATAATGTATAAATTTATCCGCCTCCTTCTGTTTCGAGATTTATTTATTTTTCAAATTATCGGAAGCAAAACAATAATATGCTGGGCCCGTTCGGTTCGCGGGTCGGGCCGAGCAGGCTGGCCCGACTCCAGTTATCCCAAACGAGTGCGAGGCGGAGGCGAGATCTCATTCTTGCGCAACCAACTGAGAGAGAGAGAGGGGGGGGGATGAAGGGGGCGTATGTGTGTCTGAGAGAGAGAGAGAATGTGCGTGTGTGTGTTTGTGTGTGCTGTTGTTTTTCCCGCCCGCAGACACGATTGAGCCCCACACGGGTTTCCGTTAAGGACGATGAGTGACCTCGCCTTCGGTGAATGGGAAGGATGAGCGGGGAGACCCTCACGGTTACGCCAAAGCGGGTCGTTTTCAATATTTATAGTTTGCAGTGTCGGTTCCCCTCGTATTACAAGCATATGATTACCGGGGGGAGCCGAAGCGGTCCTTCCGCCACGCATTACCGGTAAGCGGGCTTCGTTAGGTGATCCACCCGCAGTGTGTCATCATCAGCCCGGGACCGACATGGCCCAAGTGGGCGGCGGCGTCCCGTTGGCAAAGCTCTTTACCGTCACGCAGCAGGCAGCGGTTGAATCTGGTTGAATAGCTCGAGCAAGCAAGCAAAGGTGGCGATGAAGTCGCGCCGAGTACTTCTCCTCCTCATCCGGCTTGGAAGTTGACCGCGAGATTTAAAACCCGTCCAGCCAGCAGAGACCCGCTGGGTTAGTCGCACGTGGTCGCGTGTGGATCGCGCTACTAAAGCGCGCCGTTTACCGCGGGCGAGCGCTCACCGCCGCTGTGCTCTCGCCGCGAGTGAGTGCTTTACGGCGGGGGCATTAAGAAGTGGTTAGCACCTCTGGTGCAAGTAAAAAGAAAATTATGAGCTGTCCCCTTCATGTTGTCCATGTTGAGCTCGTCGCACGCAGAGATCATAATTATTACTGGCGTTCAGAGCGTCTCGAAAATTCGGAACGCGCGTCTTTTGTTTTCCGGCCAAGGTATGAAGGCAGGAAGGAGCCTTTCGAATGCAATCAATCCGAGCGCGGTGACTTCTTTTTGTGCCCAAACACAATTTGAATGACAATGTGACGGGTTCAAAGTTGACCGCGCGCTGGGCTGGGCGCGTTGATGGTATTGGTATAGGCCATGTTCGCAGGGGAAAGGGGAGGGGGGGGGAGCCAGTGTCCCACATGCCAAGGAACGCGAGAGAGGTCTGCCTAGTTGTACGCGAACTATGGGCGAGGCCAATGCGGCGAAGAGAGGCTTTAATCGTAAATCCAAGCGTTTCCTAACGCCGCCCGCCCAGCCCAGCCCGGCATACACAAACACACCGGCATAGTCATGGTATCTCTCGCGCTCGCCTGCAGCTCTGCGGCCCTCACAACTCGCGAGCGGGGCGGCGAGCGCGGGGCGATCCATATCGTAACAACTGCGACTGACTAACACTTTCCGCACGGCGGGTCCACGGGAGTGGACAAACAGCAGCTAAGCGAGAAAAAAACAGTCGGATCCGCCGCTTAGGTACACCTGAAAGTAGTGTCCTAGTCGACTGCCGACCCTAAAATGTTTAGGAGTCTTTGATAAAAACGTAGACCCCCCCCTCCCCCTCTACATTTACCGAGAGAGCAACTCGACTGTGAGCACCAGTACTGGGGTACTGTGAGTGTGAGTAACGACGGCAGTCGGAAAGTGTTTAATGAACGGTGAGAGCGTGTCAATTCAAGAGAAATAAAGCTGCTCAGTATAATGAACATTTTGTATGTTCATTTTATAATGTAACGCTATCACGTTATGTCGCAGTAAAAATTATTTCGACACGATTAGAGGACTCTTCAAGGACTCATTCACCTTTCAATGTTTATTTTTAGAGGATTTGAATCACAGAGTTGCCTCGACAAGATATGCGCACTCGTATCTTGATAATTGCCCAAATGGAAAAATACACATTGTCTATGCTCGAGCTCGGCTGAGCTCGGACCCGCCGGGTCACATTGGCGACCGTGGTCTCTGGCAACGGGGCCTCGCCATGCGCCGCCTTTTGCTCACCAAGCGGGCGTGTACAACTTTTTCTGTAGGAAAATTACCTGGAGGTCCAGCCGCGGCCCCGCGGGCTGCCGTTGGAGGCTGTTGCTGGAGTGAGTTCACCGGAGCCTGACCTCATCCTCGCGCCTCTCACGCCGCCGGTGAGCGGGCATTCAAACGCACTGTGTGTGGGGGGG